ACTCACACACACACACACACACACACACACACACGCTTCCACCCTCAAGTCTCTCTGATTTCCTGATCATGTCTACAGCACAAATGGGAAAAATTACATGCTGAGCTTTAATGTTTGTTTATATCACTAACACTAATTGTAAGCAATAGTATGCTTGACTTGGCAAACAACACTAATTATAGTTGTAATACCCAGAAGATTAGGAAAACATACACACATATACACTATCTCTCTCTCTCTCTCACACACACACACACACACACACACACACAGCTCTACGTAACAAATATAGTTTATATACATACGACATCTAATTATATGGCTCAGTTAAGTGTGTTCAGTCACCGATGTACTATAAAATTAAATGAATACAAAATATAAAAATAATATTATTTATTATTAATATAATCAATATTAAAATTGATAATAATAAATAATACTCTTAAATAATAGTAATTATAAAATAAAATTAGTAATAATTATTTAATGACTCAAAGAAAACATCTTGGAGCGATACTTGCTGAAAGGAGTATAAAAAAAATTAAAAATACACTGAACAAAAATATAAACGCAGCACTTTTGTTTTTGCCCCCATTTTTCATGAGCTGAACTCAAAGATCTAAGACTTTTTCTATGTACACAAAAGGCCTATTTCTCTCAAATATTGTTCACAAATCTGTCTAAATCTGTGTTAGTGAGCACTTCTCCTTTGCCGAGATAATCCATCCACCTCACAGGTGGAACAAAGTGGTAGCGATCGGACAGGTGGCGTTCATGGAACAGCAGCGATACAACGTTTCCTCGGTTACCGCTGTAAACAAAGCAGCGCTGCGCTTATAAACACTACTGTAATATGCATTATATAAAGGTAAGAGGAAAAGAAAATGCCATTGAAACATTTCTGGAGATGGTCAGCTCCTCTTAGAGATACATTTATATTATTCATATATTTCGAGCATCGCGAACAGTGAGCTTGTTCTGCCTGGTACAGTACTTTCTCCTCTTTTACAAAAATCCCACACAAATTACATTTTGGGAAATGATTGCATTGCAGTTTTTGTGCAATTTCGGAATAGATATCGGCCAAAATAAAATTAAAAACCGGTTCCGATTTATGTATATAATTATATATTAGACATGTATATATTAGAATATGTAATTTTTAACTTCCTGTGTGTTGACACCCGACCTTTGCTTCCTGGTGCGCTTGACTAAATTAAGTAACGAATCTGTTTGCTTCTTCTCTAGCGTTGTTCTGCTCTGACACTTGTATTGTTTTCTCTGTTGGATAAATCAGTTCTGCTTCTATTATTCTCATTTGCAAGTTGCTCTGGATACATTTAGCATGTGTAATACTGACGAACGTCTACTCAGACCTGTGAGCCGATTCTGGCTCGTGATGCTCTAGTTGAGAATCACTGCTCTACAGGATGAAGCATTTGTTTAGTCAAAGTAAAGTTCACATGGTTAATGCTTGCGCTTTCTGAATAGACTGCAGTATGATGGAGAGAACGAGACAAAGTGAGGAAATTAATAAGGGGAAGTTTTCCCTCGATTTTTAGTGCTTGACCGGCGGGACGCGATGGATTCTGCCTCCCTGAGCGTGCTGTTTTCCCGTCCCTGTTCAGCTCATCATTAACTGTTTCCCTGCGCTGTGTCCATATCTGCAGCTCCCCGAAGACTGATTAGAAGTTTTTCTTCTCTGAGTTGAGTCTAAGAGCAGCACTCAGCAGAAATAAAACACTCTCTCTCCACGAAGACTGTTCAAACACAGACAACTCCTTCATCGTGCAAATAAGTTTGCAAAAACTTAATATAAAGTTGCTTTCTGTTAGAAAAACTGCTGCACAGGGAATTCAGGCTTTATTGGAAATTGATTGTTTCCCATTGTCAGTGCATTACTGTCAGTGATGGCGAGTGACTGGCTAAAAATAGGTTGCTTTTTTGTTTTTTTTGGGAAGAGCACACATGAAATAATATCCGTGAAATAGAGAAATCAATTCTGTCTCTGTGACGGCACTAGAGTCTGTAAACAGCAGAAAAAATTAGTCGGTCAGACGACTTCTAACCAGAATCACTCTAAGCCTGTCAATCACGTATATGTCTGTGGAGGGCGGGGCTTCTTGAATCTGATTTGAATTCGGTTTTGAAGCTTGATGTTTTATAGATAGATGGATGGATGGATGGATGGGTGGATGGATGGATGGATGGGTGGGTGGATGGATGGATGGGTGGATGGATGGGTGGATGGATGG